CTCTTTTTCTTAATCTTCACATCTACCGAGGTCACATGTGAGAGAAGAAAATACAGTCATTCCATACGTGGTCCTGTCATTTAACCCTCATAATACCATATAGCCAACGTTGCTTTATGGATTTCAACCATCATTCTTGCTCCTTCATTAGCAAAACTGTCCCTACCCTGTACAAAAATACTTTACAAAAGCAAGACAAAGGCGGACTCTCTTGGGAAAAATAACTCATTTCTCAGCGCAAATATTGGACAGGTTTCTAAAAGCAGTCAAAGCTGGAGCAATCCTGCAATTTAACTCTGGTTGGGCGCCATCGTTGATGATGGAAGCGATATACTTAAAATCTGACCAACCTCCTAACAGGCTTCACCTCCCTACTCCACTTGTAAATCAGCTGTGCCTGATGAGTTTCGCATAACTTTTGATTTCCAGAGGCTAAAGAAAAAGCCATCTTTCGTAGCTGTGTTGCACACGGAAGCCGTCAGGTGACAGAGACCAGATCTCGAAATACTCACCAGGACGATTTCATCAGTGTACTCCAGGTCAGAAAGATATGCAGCCGATAGCTTGATCTTGATACCAAAACAAAGGGTGTCTCGTCGCTCTCCTGATAACCCCTTAGAATAAGACATTCGTCATTCTCAGGGTCAGCACTGTTTCGGAGAAGAAAATCTAGAACAATATTGAACAGTAAAGGCGAAGGCACACCAACCTGGAAACTCAAAAGTTAATAGGGAACCATTCAGATAGCTCTCCTTCAACACTGACAGCAAACACTATTGCTGTATACATCTCTTTCAACATAGAAATGATGTACTCCGGCGTATCATAGCCTTGCAATATTTTCGCAGATTTTAGATGCAGCCCTAAAGTCGAGCAATCTGGGAAACCAAGGCAACTCGAATTGTTGGCACTGCTTAATAATTCTATTCAGTGTAATAACTTAATCAGAATAGGAATGCACATCTGGTAGCCTGCTTAATTTTGACGATCGCCCATCCACTGCATGCCTCAGCATTTCCAAATAATCAAAAACAGTTTTCTGAAGTCAACAGTAGTGTGATACCATGAAAACTTTAATTTCAGTCACCCGACCCTTTTATATAAGGACAGCTACTTCCAGAAGTTTCCATTCTCGTGTGAAAAGTTTGTAGGTCCATATTTCACAAAACTGGCATGGAACTTTTCAAGCATTCCTTTCCTCCATAGTTAATTAATGCCAGATAAATTCCATCCACCCAGCAGGCCTTCTTCACCTTGAGATGTGGCAAGGCTCTTTAGATTTTTAGTTTTGTGGGTGGATAAATAAATAACCTCTAGTGCTGGAAGAGAGTTAACGGTCGAACATTACGAATCTGAAGGGCAGTCATTGAGCGGCTGCAGGAAATGCTCAGCCCACCTTTTGAGGTTTTCCGTTTGAGTTTCCAATGAGACACGGTTAGCGTCTTGGATAAGAACAGTGAATCCCCTGCTTACTGGGTAACCGTAAGCGTGAGACACAATTAATCAGAAGCCAAAATGTCAGAACATCATAAATCTGAGAACTCTGTCTTTGACCATGATACCCTAGATGACGATGACAACAACGGATAAGAGTCGCCTATCTTTTAACACTGTTTGTCATTCACTCTTTCCTGCTGCCTTGCTGATTATCCTGGTTCCTGTAGTTAAGTACCAAAGCCGAAGTTACCTATCTCGCCTGTAGCTCTGGCTGACTGCAAAAACGAGACAGATGAGCGACCTATGAGGGTGCAGTACGGCGTTATACTCCTCTGTCTGATTCCTTTGCACTCTAAAGGATATGATCCAACTCCGTAACTCAGGGGCCATTTCACTATTCCATTTCTGGCCAAAACCAGTCTTTTTCGACGAGGAAATAACATTTTTTCTTTGAAGTGATTGTTAGCATAATCGATGTCGCCACTT